GGGACTAGAACTCACAGCCTCCTGGTTTCTAGCCTCATGCCTTAACCACTACACCAAACTGGCTCTCAGATATTTATTTAGCTTGCTTGTTACTAAGGAATTTACTATAGGTATTTAGACTTCACAATGAACATGGTACAGAAAGGATACAAACAGCAACATCTTGTTCCTATGCACAATACCCTTTGGTGTAGCCACAAAGCACAAAGCATATTCTTTTTAAAAATATGTAGAGTGCTTCCTAATCAAAGCTTTCAAATCGTTTTTTATAATTCCAAAGACCATTACAAGGTTCATACTCTTGTACTGTAGACAGAATTGCATGACTGAAGATGAAATATTCTGAGCACAGATCATAGTAACATTTGTGAAATTATGTTGGGTAACAAATATTGGATAAGTCTACGACCTTGAAAAACTGCAGTTAATAAACATTCAATGTTTCTGTGATCCAATTTTCTACCGCAGCACCTTATTTCTCTGGGTTATAAAGGATTCTGGTCAATTTTGACATCAACAAGGGTTAGGGTTGTGTGCATTTAAACAGCAAAATAAAATTAACAGATCAGTGAAAATGGCAAGGAACTCCACCCCCAACTTCCCCTAGTCTCTACGCCCTAGGAACAAGATGTTGCTGTTTGTATCCTTTCTGTACCGTGCTCACTGTGGAGTCTAAACACCTACAGTAAATTCCTTAGTAACATAAGTCATAGGAGCTTAAAGAGTTCTTGGAGCAGTAGGACTGAGATAAAAATAATGCTGTGCAACTAGTTCTGCAAACCTCAAGGCTCCTTGGATTTATACTTCTTAAGTGACCCGCCCCCCCCGCCCCCCAGCTCATAGCAAGCAGTTTTAAAAATGAAGGAAAATTTTAAAGTAGCTTGCAAGATGGAAGGAATAAGTATACTTCTTAAGTGACCCGCCCCCCCCGCCCCCCAGCTCATAGCAAGCAGTTTTAAAAATGAAGGAAAATTTTAAAGTAGCTTGCAAGATGGAAGGAATAAGTATACTTCTTAAGTGACCCGCCCCCCCCGCCCCCCAGCTCATAGCAAGCAGTTTTAAAAATGAAGGAAAATTTTAAAGTAGCTTGCAAGATGGAAGGAATAAGTATACTTCTTAAGTGACCCGCCCCCCCCGCCCCCCAGCTCATAGCAAGCAGTTTTAAAAATGAAGGAAAATTTTAAAGTAACTTGCAAGATGGAAGGAATAAGTAATCCATTTTACAAATAAAAAACTCATAGCTACATCCTGGATTCCAAAGAATATAATGTCAATGTTTACTTCAAGATCTGCACATGCATTTAGGATAGCTCTCCCCAAATCTATACTTTCCATATACTTTGGACTGCTGTCAGTATTGGAATTCAAAGCTGGAATTCAAAGTACATTGAAATAAATTTAAAGCTTTTTAAAATTATTCCTTGGCTATTTGTTGTATAAAAACTCTTTTTAGATGAATGTATCCTTGAAATAGTTTAGGAACTTCTTTAAAATAGAAGAGAAAAAAGGTGGGACTGTATTAATCTAGCACCGTTTTCTCACCATATCTTTGTGCAAATAATGAGGAATACTTTGCAAGAAGGCTCAAATGACTGAACCCCATCGAAGCAATGGGAGAAAAGTCACAGAAAGGTGTTGGGTAACAGAAGCCATATTACTGCAAAGTTCCCAAGTTGTTTTAGAAGCCCCGTAGCAAAAATAGACGACAGGCAAGGGTGTGCACAGAAGCACTAACAGCCGACATCATAAACAGCCTATCGGTGGCTTGCTACATACCTAATGATGGTTATAAACTGTGTCATAGTTAACTCTTGTGGTACAAGAAACTTTGTTTTGTCCAACAGGGGGAGGTATTTTTCTTTCTGATATCTTTCAACAATTACCTGATTCAAAAGAAAAAAGCACAACATGTTTAAAAGCAATGTGACAGCGCGACATGCTACCAGGGGACACATACAGTCGCATCAGCAGGAGACAATCCTCTCTGCAGAACATAACGAAGTCAGTGACACTTCTGGCCAAGGAAGCCTGCACTGACTCAGATGCACTTAAGGAAAGAAAGGAGGCAAATCCCGGGGAGGTTTAGCAGAGAAAAGAAGGCGCTGCTTACTGGAACTTTGGTCGGGAATTTCCCACGAATGCCTGCTACTTCTTCCACTCGGGTTGCTGTGCCAGAGAAAGAAAAGGAAGAGCCGTCAGTTCTTCTCACGGGGCCCCGAAGAGAAAGAGCTGTTCCCAGGACAGCAGGTTGCGGGTTTCAGGTGGTCACTCTGCTGAGCGGGGCTCCTTCGACGGAGCAGCACGTTCAGGTCACATCAGCGGAGGCTCTTCCTCCCCCCCACCCCTCCAAAGAGCTCTCCGAGCATGCCTAAAACGCGATGTCTTGGGCGAGCCCATTCCCGTCTACCAAGGAAGACGTCCCACGGAGGTTAGAGGGTTTGCTCCGAATTGAGGGGAAACAAGCGGACCGCTTGATTTCCCAACCAGCGCTCAACTCCGCTGGCGCAAGGGCGCCCCAT